GGCGGTCCCGGCCCCGCGCCCCGAGACACGGCACGGGGTGGGAGCCGGCACTGGGTACTCGGTACCTGCATCCCCGTACAGTTACGTGCATCCCGGTACTGGTACCACATCCTGGTGCGATATCTGCAGCCCAGTACAGGTGCCTGCATCCTGGTGTGGGTACCCACATACTGGTACCCACATCCCAATATGGTACCTGTATCCTGGTACAGTACCTGTGTCCCAGTATGGTACCTGCATCCCAGTATGGGTACCTCCATCCCAGTACGGGTATGTGTATTCCAGTACAGGTATCTGCATCCTGGTAGATGTTTCTGCATCACAGTATGGCACCTGCACCCTGCAACAGGAATCCGTATCCTGGTATGGCACCCGCATCCTGGTATAGCACCTGCATCCCAGTATGGGTACCAGCAGGCCAGCACCCGGTACCTGCTGAATCTGGCACAGGCGACTACAGACTTTACCTCCATCCTGACCCTGGCACTCACATGCTGGCCCCGGTCTGGGTGCATTCCCTATGGGTGCTCCACCTGGCACGGGGCACATGGTGCCACCAGTGCTGACACCTGCCCCAGCACAGAGCACACGAGGCAGCCTGGCACCGGGTACCTTGAACGGGCACTATTTACATAATGTGCACAGCCGCACCCAGGTCAGGCCTGCTGCCCCCAGATCCCCATGTGCCCTGTCCCTGGGGGGCAACGTGTCCCCAGGGCCCAGCCCTGGCACTGTTCCCACTCACTTGGGCCACAGCTCAGGCTCATGGTAAAAGCCAGGGGAGCTCTGGGCTTCACGGCCCCGCTGTGGCATGGGGGTGTCCCCACGCTGGGGCAGAGAGGCTGGGAGGCAGCAGGCAGGGCTGTGCAGGCCGGTGATGCGGTGATGCCGGTTGGCACTGGGCAGGCAGAGATGCCAGGCAGCAGGGCAGTGTTCAGGCTCCTCCTCAGGGACTGCGTGGGGCCATGGGTGAGCTCCTGCAGCCCTGCCGTGTGTCCCCTGCCTCACACCTCTGCCTGCCTCTGCACAGCATGCATGGCTCCGGCACACATATTAATAATATGCACTGTGGCACACGGGCCTGCTGTTCCCGTGGGGCCCAGCGTGGTTTGGACTCCCCAGGGAGCACCGCGTGTCCTGTCCACCTGGGCATCGCCATACTTGCAAGGTGGTACCGGCCATGTTCTCTCCCCATCCTTGCCCCGGCATCCCTGCATGCCCTGGTTTGCCATTGTGGGAAGGGTCTCCTCTCCCAGCCCAGCAGCCTGGAGGGACACGCTCGCACACAGAAGAGCAGTCTGGTCCCATCCAGCCTTGGAGCAGAGGGTTTGGAGAGGTGCTGGGAAAAGCCAATTCCCCAGCTGCACCCACGTTCCCGGTGCCCAGCACCCGTGGTTGAGCCTGCAGAGACAGAAATAGCCGAGGGAAAAGCTGCCACTGGGAAACAGGAGCAGGCAGGGGAGGTGGCACAGCCCCGAGAGCTGCAGGCGTGCGGGGGAAAGCGGCTGCAGGGAAGCGGGGAGCCTGTAACCCCACACTGGGACGGGCATGCAGACCCACGGTTCCCAGGGGCAGCCAAGCCGCCCGCTTCTCACCACCCACCAGATCCTGCCAGAACGACACAGGGACCCACCACCTCCTTCCCCGTCTCCCTGCTGGCTGGCACTTGTTGCAGAGGCATCCATGTCCCCAAGCACCAGGGAGCCCTGGGGTAGCCTCAAGCCTTCTCCCACAGGGCCAGGCTTCAGTTCCTGCCCTAAATCCCTGTAACTGTCCCCAAACAGGGTGGGCAGCCCAGGCCCTTCGAGCTGCTCACGCTGCAGCCAAGTGAGGCCCCGGGCTTCTCACAGCCCTGGCAGAGTTGAAGGGGCCTGCTCCCCAGGAGACGCAGGACACGGTGTGCAAGCTGAAGGTGTGTAAAAATTTATTTTGTTGTAGAGAACAAACCTAAAACGGTATGGCTTTGCCAAACACGGACTGGTGCTGGGAGCAGGGTCAGACCACCAGACATGGGCCTGGCTAGCAGAGCCATGCACGGTGGGTTTGGGCACAGAGAAGGGATACAGAAACACCAGGGATGTGGCCCATGAACCATGGGGCCAGCAGCGAGTGTGATGGCAGCAGATGCCCGACTGGCAGAGCAACTCTGGCACAGGCAGGGAACCTCCCATCCGGCCAGCACTGGGGACCAGGCACCAGTGGGATGGGAACACTACCCTGGGACTGCCCCCATAAGAGATGCTGGCTGCTGCCCAGAGACCTCTCAACCCCTTCACTGGCTCCAGGCCATGATAAAAAGTTTAAACAGACAAAACACAGAGAAGCAGCTCCAGCGGTTACCTCAGTGCGGCCCCCCGAGCTGCCTGCAAAGAAACCTACCCTGAGTGTGCTCAAAAAGTCTACAAGCTAGTGTCACGGAGCCAGGAGCTGAGCTGGACTCCCCCCTGGAAGGATGGGAGCCCAAGGATGGGTGTGAGCTGAGCACAGGGGCGAGCACAGGCTGGCCTTGCACTTTTGGACTCAAGAGACAGGGATGCTGTGGGACTCTGGCCCCAGATTTGCACTAAGCTGAAGTCACAGCAGCTGCCCGGCAGCTAACACCGACTTGGGTGCACGCGGGGGCCAGGGGAGCAAAGAGCTTCCAGTTGTACCAGGAGATGCAACACTGAGCCTCGCACACTGAGACAGCCTCAGCATGGCCAGGGCCCCGCAGAAGTGACAGCAGGACAAGGGCTGTATGCCAGCATATGGCACGGCCTGCCACCAGCTCAGCAATGGCACTACCAGGAAAGGACTGCAGCCTGCCCTCGGGAGTGCAGTGGGCATCCTACGCCCTCGCAGCCGTCTCCAGCTTATCAGGGCCCCTGGGGCTCTGCGAATACTGGTGGCCAGGGCAGAGGTGGGGAGGGGACAGGCCACACAACTGGGCAGGGGAGGAGGGCAGATGGGCTGAGAGTCTGTTGTGCAGAAACAAGAGAAAGAGCCTGGGACAGGTCATGGGTATCGCTCCCTCCCCTTGCAGCCCCAGGCTGGGGGCTGCAGCCACAGCGTCCCAACAAGAGGTGCCAGGAGTGACGCCAAAACACAGGGGTTTGGGGGGTGTAAGCACCTGGCCCTCCACAGCTGCCTTTCCCAGCGTTGGCTGAGGGAAACAGGGGCAGGGGATGGCGGTGTGCCCCCGGGGGCTGAAGCCATGAGCCCATTTGACAGCTCTGCCCCAGGAGCTTTGGGAGCGTTGCCCCCCAGAATTGAGGGCACCAGCACAGCCCTCTGGGGAAGGAATGTGCCCAGCCCAACAGATACTGAAACACTCATGTTTGAGCTTAAAAACAAATGTTAAAAAAAATTAACAGAATAAAAGATGAGGATGATCCTCCAGCTGCCGGTGAGGTGGAGTCCCCAGGTAGAGCTGCCTGGCCTCTGCTGCCACCGCTGGGCAGGAGCCATGTGGGTGAGGAGGCTGCAGAGGCCAGCAGGGTTAGGCTGGCCAGTGACAGGGGCTCTATCCTGCTGGTGATGGGAAGTTCAAGTTCAGTGGTCCTGCAATCCAGGCTGGGAGGAAAGGAGGACTTCCCACCAGGGACCAGCTTGAAGCAGGGCCCCTCACCGGGGTGTCATTCGGGACAGGGAGGCTGGTGTCATGGGGAGGACGGGCTGGAAAGTGACTCTCATTTGTTCTTGGCTAGCACACGGTACAGCGTGAACCCTACCAGAGCAGTCACCGCGGTCCCCAGAGCCACCCGGAGCCAGAAGGACGCGGCTCCCAGCTCCACGGCGTTCAAGTGGCTGCAAGGAAAGAGAAGAGGCCAGTGAGTGAGGTGCACAGAGATGGCTGTCCAAACAGCAAGCTCCCTGACAGCCTGGAGCACTTCCACCCCAAGCAGGGAGGCTGGCGTGTCCCGGGGGGGACAGAGGGTGACCACCGCACAGCTCCAGCCAGGGAGATACAGCCCAGCCGAAGGCAGAGAGCACCAAGAAGCTGCCCGGCCTTGCAAGCCAGAGTATCCGCTGCCCAGCACCATCATCAAGCCAAACGACGGCTCCCTGCCCTGCTGGTGGGATGGATGTGGCTTTACCCTCCTCCCGTGGTCTGGAAATAGTACACCAACACCTAAATAATTAGTACGAGCAAGGAGGTATGTATCTGCCTTTCTAGGTCAAGCTGCTTTTACAACTCTAAGTGCATAGAGACCCAGAGCAGATGCAGGCGGAGACGGTGGCACAGCCGGTGACACTGACCTAAGGGCAGTGAGGGAAGGGGCCTGGTCCTGCCCGAGCGTACATATTCCCTTCCTCAACACATGCTGTCCTGCATCAACATGCTCCTTTCCGAGGAGGAAAGATATATCCATTATTCATTCTCCACTAAATCAGGGGAGAACAGCCAATCCCTGGCCCCCCATTACGCCGTTATTTATTTATACCACAAACCCTAAGATATATTAAGAATATTTAAATTTTAATACTGCAGAGGAAAAAAAAAGTGTCAGCTCTAAAAATAAAGTTGTTTATTGAAAAGAAGCTTGAGGGAAAACCACTCACTAGTAATCCCATCCTGTCTTCCAATGCACCCACACATTCTCCCTGGGAGGGCTCTGCCCCCGGCGCTGCACCAACCCTCAGCTTTAAGTCCCCTCTGCCCCTCAAGCAGAATGATGCCATGTGCAGACACGTTGTCCTTCCCAGATCTCCCCTCACCGCCCGTGACCGGCCTGGCTGCCGCCCTACCCCGTTACCCAGCCCCTTTCAGGGGCAGTTCCTTCCCAAAGGGAGGCTGTGTGTACAGAGGTCTTGCTTCGCTGACCTCCTTTTCAGTCTGATCCACCTCGTCAGGAGAAAATAGCTGCCACCCCACCTCTGTGGGCCTTGGCAAACTAGGCTGGCTACTCCCCTTCAGCATTTTTTATCTTAGGCTTCAAAAATAAAAACTCCCATGGCAGGTTCTATCTAATAAATCTGCCAGAGCCACACACAAGGCAGAAGAGAGCCTCCACCCTCTCCAAGTAGGGGAATAAGCGGCCTTTTTGTTTCAATTACTTGTATGAGTAGATGACACCAAGAGCTAGAGAGAAACTAAACGAAAAGCAACGTGGCAGAGGCAGGGTTTTGCCGCAGCCTCCCTACCCAAGCTACACTCCCAGCCAAGAGCCCCCTCCATGGGAAGGATACTAACGGGAAGGTGGCGGCGGTGGCCAGTTTGGTGTAGATGGTGGTGCTGGGTGGACCCTGGCCGTGGCAGGAGAAGAGGAAGGGCGGCGGGAGGCAGTGCTTGTAACAGAACTCGGTAGGGGAGAGCCCGGGCTGCTGACTTGCTTCTGGCAGGTCTGTCTTGGAGGCCACGAGGATGCAGGGGATCTGGCTGTCCATGTAGTGTTGCTGCAGAGAGAGGAAGAAGTGCCAGTGAGGGCTAAGCGACCAACCCATGGGAGATGTGGGGCTGCCATGCAAAGGCTGAAGTCCCACAGGACCCCAGCCAGCTACCTTATAAATACTGGCACAGTAGCTGAAGGATCTGGGGTCGCTGTGGTCATAGATGAAGCAGGCCACATCGCAGGCTGCGTCTGACGGCTTCACAAACTTTGTGTCCGCGCTGACCTCACACATCTGGAGCAGGAGAGGAAAGGACACATGGCACAGCACATTCTCAAGGGGATCCGCTGTTTCTCACACTGGCACATGGGCTGTGCCAGCGTGACCGCAGCCGCAGCCCAGCCCAGGGGTCCCGGGATGGCACTGCAGCAATATGAGGGTACACAGTCCAGCCCTGCTGCAAGCCAGACACAGCAGCAATTCCCTCCTCTCCCTGACTTACTATAAGGTACTTCTCCTGGCCATTGACCTGCACAGTGTTGATCACGTAGAGGGATGGCTCTCCTGGGTTCTCCCTCTGGGCCTGCCACCAATGAAAACATGTCAGACAGCAGGGAGCAAGAGCAGTGCTTGTGGGAGGGAGAGCATTTCACACTGCCCTGAGTCCCTGGGGTATAACAGCCACTGGAAGGTCAGCTGGTGCCTGCCATGAGACACGAGGCTGTTCATAACAGACAGGGAAAGTCAGCATCGCCTTGGTCAGACTGGGGAGGTAGAGCTGCCTGGGAAAGGCACAGCCCCTCCAGATCTTCAGGACAAGCAGAGGGAGTGGGCCCACTGCCTTAGGCAAAATTAAGGATGCAAGAGGCACAGCAACCAGCAGCGCCAGCACAGAGAGGAGTGTGAAGCCCTTTGCCGGGACGCTGGGGCCTGGTCATGGGCAGGGAGGTGTCATCACGTGGCAGATCGCTCAACGGCCTCACGGCTCTGCCACCTGTTCCGCTGGGATGCCCTGCCGCAGCGCAGCCGGAGAGGGGGGCAGCCACTCACCGCGAGGCTCCTGCCGAGGAAGGCCTGCAGGAAGGCGGACTTGCCTGCGCCCCTGGCTCCCAGCACCTTGCAGAGGAAGACGTTTCTCTGGGTCTGGCCTTTCTCCAGGTCGATCCTCTTCTCCCGGGTCACTGGCAGGAGAGAGGCTGGGTGAGCATGAGGAGGGACCCGAGCCATGACAGCAGGAGAGGGTGTGGCCATACCCGTGAGGGCTTGTGTCTGGGAGTCCTGCTCCGAGAGAATGGGGTAGCCCAGGTAGCCCAGGCACTCCAGGCAGCACCGCACATCCAGGTAAGCCACAAGCCTGGAGAGACAGAGCGCACCGGGAAGCCGACAAGGTCAGCAAGGGCTAAGCGATGTGACTAAAGGTGGGGGAGAGGGACTGAGCTTACGTCCACTGGCAGAGGAATCCATGCAGGGAAAGCAGGCCTTTATCAGTGGTGCATACCGTGTTGCAGAGCTCGGGGCCCCAGGGCACATAGGGGAAGACGCTGAAAAAGTTCTGCAGCTCTGCAGGTGAAAGGGCTCCGTCCTGGTCCTGCCAAAACAAAGCGGAGTCAGCAGCTGAGGCAGGACACAGCCCATGCATGCACCAGCAGCTCTCTGCAGCCAGCCCAAGCATTGTTGGGGTCCAGAGAGGGTCCCCGGCACACAAGCCACCTTGCTCACTGCTGCAGAATGACCCAGGCATGCTTTCAATGGCAGAAATCAATTGCAAGCAAGGCCAGAGCTGCGTGAGCGTGCAAAAAGCCTGTGCCCCAGGGACTCCCATCACTGCACAAGAGACAGGTCAATTCTGCTTTGCGATTGCAGCTGGAACCAGTGCCAGCCCTGCTACTGGGCAGGACCTGTCCAAGCTCACCCCACAGCCCTGAGCTGCTGTTCCTGGCTTCCCTGGGGCCAGCCACCCGGCAGCAGCCCGCATCGCTCCAGCCTGACCTTCGATGCTGCAGGGTAACTAACCCAAGGTCTGTGTGTGGCCACCAGCTAACCACACACCAATGCCTGGTGCGCCTGAAGAGGATCTGCCAGCACCTGGGCACACAAGGACGTGCGTCAACTCAGTGCTGCAATTCCCTGTGGCCACAGAGCTACCTCAGTTGCACACCAACATCTGAATAACTAGCCCGAGCAGGTGCGTGCAGATCCAATACATCCCCTTCTCCCACTCTCTAAAGAGCGAGAGTATGGCACAAATCAGTTGCCTCCTCTCCCTCTCTCCGGCCTGGCACCCCCTCCACAGTGCTGGCAGCCGTGTGGATGCTTGTGCTTGGTCCGTAGCTGCGGGCCAGCAGCTGTGCCCACTTTCCCTGCTACCCTGTGTGCTGCAGCCAGGCACTATGAGACGCTACGCCAGTCTGATGTTAACTCAGACCCATCCCCTGAAGGCCCAAACTTTACTGTCTGCCCTTTGGTCAAGGGTAGTGACCACAACCCCATGCCCTTGACAAACCATTAGGCTACCTACAGCTCACTGCGACCACTTCCTGCTCCCAAAGCCTCGGCCAGAAGCCGTGAAGGGAGCACTGTGGCAGAGGAAAGCCCTTCACTGGCACTATGCCTGCTCCCTGGAACAGAGGGGTGGACAGGAGAGCAGCTACGCCCCAGCGTGCAAGCCTAACGGAGAGCATCCCCTCCCCAGGCAGCCCCACCATGCGCTGATCACCTTGTCATGCTTCTCAAACTGTCGCTGCAGGAACTGGTAGCCCAAGTGGTTGAGCTCTGTGGAGCAGCCGGGGGGCAGGCGGAACCTGTCGGAAGAGACCCAAGTGAGCCTCCTCAAGCCCTGAACGAAGGGCAGTGTGTGAGCAGGTCATTGGCTTAGCCAGATCTCACCCAGACGACACAGTTCCCCACTCTCTCCCTGCTCAAGGCCAGCGGTTGTCTCCAGGTCTGGCTATGCCTTGACACAGCCCCCTTGTTTTGGGGAGAAGCTCTCGAGCGTGCACAGTGGCCTCTCCTTCGCAAATCTGCGCTGTTCAAGCAGCCAGGGAGACACTGTAGCCCTCGCTCTGCCGCATGCCCAGGGCTTCAGTAGGGCACAGCAATACCCTCAGGGTGCTTTCCACCAGCATGGGCCCTGTCGCCTCCCCACGCAGTCTGCTGTCTGGGGAGAGGATAAGGCAGCTCACAAGCCAAACCCTTTCATTACTGCCAGATCACCACCTCCGGGGTGGCAGAGAGCAAAGAGACGGCAGCTGCAGAATCAGCCGGGGGGGCTATGCTGACAGCTCACTGCTCCCGACAGACCCGTTCTGCCTCAGCTCAGGCAGAGACAGAACAGCCTTCAAAAACCCCTTGCTGATGTCAAGGGAAGTCAGGAACACGCCTTCATTCTCCACCTCCTTGCCCGCCTACATCACAGCCAGCAGCTCCAAGGCCCATTGTATTTGTCGACAACCCCACGTCGGCTCCTGCCCGCAGAGGAAGGTGAGGAGCATGAACCTGACCACGAACTAAGGGTGCAGATTCAGCCTCAGCTGAGGAACGCAGCAGACACCAGGGTGCAGAAAGGAGCCAGCAAAGGCGCTGGGGAGCCCAAGCTGTGCACTACGGGGACGTCACACCCTGCCCACCCCACTCCACCACAGGATACGCACTGTGGGTAGAGATAGTCATCCGTCAGCTCCAGCTCGTCGTCGTAGCCAAAGCGGCGAAGGATGGTCCAGGTGGTCTCGTGCCGGCCCCTCTGGATAAAGAGTGTGTTGAGGAAGAGGAAGCCTGCAGGAGAGATCAGGTGGCTCAGATACAGTGGGGCCAACCAAGCACTCAGCCTTGGGACCATGCTTTCCCTGGGAAAACAGGTTGCTTGGATGGAGAGCTCTAGTAGCCACAGCAGGCTCAGGCCTGCTTTGACAAGGGGACTAATTAGGCTTGGAATGAGAGCCAAGAAGCTCAACCCAAGGACAGGACCCCTCGCAGTGGGCTGAAGGAGATGGATCCCTCCATCCCTTGCTGGGAAAGGGCAAGGAGCCCTTGCGCTGTTACCGTTCAACGTCAGGCCATTGTCCTGCACCCCATCTGTGGTGTTCTTCCACACAACCATCTTCACGTCCTCCAGCGCCTGGGGAGCCAGTGGATTTCCAAAACAGGACTTCTACCTCCCAAAAGAAAGAAGGTCATCGTCAGCAAAGCACAAAGGCAGCACAACCCTCTGTCTCACCAGCATCCCTCTCCCCTGGGAAGGAGACAGTGTTTCTAGGAAAGAAAATCCACCCAGCTGAGGGATTACTGCCTTAGAGCCCAACCAAAGCCCTGTTCCTCAGCATCCCAATAACATATGACTCAGTATCTCCAGAGCCTCCTGCTTTTCCCACAGCAGAGCAAACTCAGCCCAAGGTTAGTGAAGATGGAAGAGCAGTGGATCCCGATGTGCTTGGAGATGCACTCTACAGTGCTTTAGCTGTGCAACAGCACAAGTACTGAATGCAAACAGGACAGCTGTGTCAGGAGAGGGGCAGCCTTTCTGCCTGGTATTGGACAGAAAGGGGACCCCAGAGGCTTTCCACAAGGGACTGGGGAATATCTCAGCTCCACAGCCAGCTCTACCTGGAAGTAGTTGAGTTCATCATCACTAAGGATCTGGTTGTTATCCTGGTCTGAGAGGTTGAAAATCCGGGTCAGCGCTCGTGCACATGCAGGCTTCAGCTGCAAGGGACCAAACACGATGACAAAACCAGGGCACCACCTTCAGCCCAGCCCTTCCTCCTGCTTCCTGAAACCCCATGGCGCAGAGGGGTTCCCTTCCTGCACTGGCCGGGAGCACGGTCCAGCTAGGCCAGTACCACATCCACCTTGGAGGTGGGAGACAGAAGAAGGACAGCCCACAGAGAAGGTTTCTCCTAGACCCTTCCCACCATGCCTAACACATGGTCTGGAGCATGAGGGCTTCTGCCCCAATATGTCCTCAGTCCTTGCAGAACTCTCTGGCCTAGATATGCTCAGCTGGCTGCGCTGAGCACAGGAGATGGGTGCTTTACCCTTGTTCTGGCCGCGTCTGCCCAAACTCTCCACCCTCCTACCCAGGGACAAAAGCACAGCACCAGACCAGAGTGCTGTGATGGGAAGGAGACTCCTCCAGGGGCTGCGAGCAGTGCTTCCTACCTGCTTCTCCTCTGGGTCGTAGAGGGGGGCAGTGGGGTGCAGTACAGCTTTCTGGGCATAGTAGAAGAGCTCAGAGATGTTCTTGAGGTTCTTGGCAGAGCACTAGGGATTCAAAGGAAGAGACAGCTCTGAGAGTCCCCACTCTCAGATGGGCCGGGTGACAAAGGGCAGGTGATGGGCCGGTGACAAAGGGCAGAAGGAGGATGATATGACCTCCCCAAGCCAGGCAAGTTGTGCATCAAAGCACAGAGCAACGTCTGTTCACCACCAGGAAAAAAACAAAAGGGAGACCTCCTGCTCATGCTCTGGCTTTGCTGCGCCCATTCCACAGCCCCAAAGCCAACAGGGGCTGCATGTAGCTCCAACACCAGTTACAGCCAGAGAGCCAGAGTGGGCAGACACTGAAACCCACTCCCTGCAAGGAAGACAAAGGACAAAAGCCTAAAGCCCAGGCCCTCAAGACCGCGACAGGGGTACTTCTGCAGAGCAATGCTAGCACGGCAGACCTCCACAAGCATGAAGGCTCCCTGACTCAAGCCAGATAAGTGCTCCTACCCCTCAGGGAGGCTTTGCAGAAACCTCCCAGTTCCCTCACCTCCACGCAGGTTTCAATCTCTGAGAACTGGTTCATGATGGGCAGGATGACATCCATGGAGCTCCCCATCTGCAGGTCAGACTTGTTTCCCACTAAAATAATGGGGATCCTGGAGAAGAGACGGAGTGTCAGAGAGCATGAGTGAGGTCACCCCTCTCTCGGTCTCGGCACTGCCACGCATGTTCACAGGCAGCAGGCCGGGGAGCCTCCCCACCCTCCTCCGCAAGGTCCAGAGCAGCTTTCCTGCCTCTCACGGCTCAGAGCATCCATCTGGAGAAACAGACTGCCTGATCCTGCTTACGCTTTCACTCAGCAACAATATGTTCAGGAACCTTTAATCCAGCACAGCAGCCTTCTGCCTAAGCGATCCACACACAGATTGCGGCTTCTGTGCTCCTGTACTCCCTTGGCAGCCTCCTCTCCCTGCCTGGCTGAGAAGAGATCAAGGGGGGAAGGAACCCTCTCCCATGGTCCTCTGCCTCAGCTAGATCTGCGAGGGAGAAAAGCCCCCAGGTTCTTCTGCTACAAGTGGTCTGGCCACAAGCCACAAGGCTAGTTTGATCTTAGTAACCTCAGGAGGAGGTGAGGGTGGTGGGCACCCCACAGCCTCCAGAATCCCCCAATTCTGCATCCGTGGACCACGCCATGCACGGTACCTGGAGCCCTTTTCAACTCCCCCGTTCACCATGGGGATCCACTTTGTGCGAATCTGAAAGGCGAGCACAGGGAAAGGCCTGTCAGTGCAGCCTGGGGAGGCAGAGGCAGCTCCCAGCACACACGCCCTGGCAGTCAGCAGGGCTCTGCAGCCATCTGCTCCCTGGCATTCCCCTGCACCAGCAGACAGAGCAGACCCAAGGATGCTGAATGCCAGCAGAAACATACAACAAGCTGGTTGCCTCCTAGCACGTGAGGTCAACGGCCAACATGGGAGCAAGCTTGGGCTGCGCTCAGCTTGCCTCTGCTTGCAGAGGTCTCAAAACCCCCGTGGGGCTGGGGGGCATCAGTACCCACCCACACGAGAAAGCATGGAAGGAGCCAGCACTGGGAACCCCTTCCCCTCTGGTGCTGCTGCTGGAGCAGGGCCACTCAGGGCTCCAGTGGGGGACCCGTTACCTTCTCAATTGTGGCCTCCTTAGTGACATCGTACACCACACAGACCACGTTGGCCTGCAAGAGAGAAGTGGCAGAGGGTGGTGAGCGAGGGTCCCTGCAGCACACTCACCGCAGTGGGGAGGCCGGCTGAGCGCGAGGCACAGTCCTGCCGTAGCAGCAGGCCAGCTCTGCAGCCAGGCAGCTCTGGCCCCATGTGCTGCCAGCGCGCTTGCACTGAAACCCAGCAGCGGTGGTGGAGTGTGTGCGAGCGTGCACGAGCGTGCACACGTACACACAACCCTTCAACAGCAACGACTCACCCGTCGTCAACGGGCTGCTCAGAGCAAAGACCGGCTCCTCTGTCTCAGGAGCTACAGTGAGTACATCTGCCTCCAGGCCCGACAGCCCAGTCACCGACTCCCACACCTCGCTGTCCCCCCACAATGGCTCTGCCTGTGCCCCATGCTAGGCCAGCGACCGCAGCCCTCCTCCCCTCCCCGACCCCATGCAGACAGTGCTGACACCAATGCTTTATTTAAAGCAGACAAGAGGGATCACTGGCCCTTTCAGAAGAGAGTTTAGCGCTAATCCCCAGGGCACACAAGGGTTCAGGCGGGATTTCCTGGAGCTATTTTAAGCTTCTGTATATTCTTGCTGTCTGGGTGGAGGGAACAGGACCCCTGTGCCCACAGGCCCACCTCTTTGGCCGTTAGTTGCCAAGGTGGAGAGATTAAATAGCTTTGCTCACGTGAGACGCACACGGGAGAGACAGTTTTATTATCCATAATCAAGAGGTCCTTCTCTCTGCAGACCCAAGGTTAATCCCGGGGCAGAGAAAAGCAGCTGGGCCCACCCCAGCCAACCAACTGGATTATTCCTCCATAGCTGCTCCAAGGGACGTGGGAGCCCTCATACCTCCCTGCCCAGCACTCCCTGAGGCTCCAGCTTTCAGACCAACTCTTCTCTGCCACTGCTTCATCAGGCAGCCGCAGGGAGCAGGGGGGCCTCACCCAAGCTCAGAAACTGCTTCTCCCCTCTTCTGAGTCCATCAGGAACATGCCGACGCTAACAGCACATCATCTGCTCAGCAGCCTCCCCCACCTCCTGGTGGGCAGCAAGCTGCGCCCCCTGCTCTCTTTCTGGAGGCTCCCCGAAGGGCTAGGACAAGCCACATACAACAGCTTACAAGACAGAGAAGGATTAAACAAACCTCTAAACAAACTGCTAACATTAATCTACAGATAACCAACCACCTGCACATCTCTGGGTGGCTACTGGGGAGAGTGAGCAGTCACATGCCACTCGCTGGCTGCAGGGCTATAGGCACGGCATCCTCCTGTCCCACAACACCCCTGTCCAGCCCTGCTCACCTTAGCGATCTCCTCCTGCAGCTCATCGTCTGTCTGCTCCGACTCTGAAAGGGGAAGAGAGCCATCACCAACTGCCCCTGGCAGCGGGGACCCCTTCCCACTCCCCTCAGCCAGGCAGAGAAGTGGAGAAGCAAGGCCAGCAGGGAGTGAGGAGGGATGGGGCCCTACCTGAGTAGTCCACTATGTGTGTGGGGACCTTCTCAGGGGTGACATCAGCCGGGATCGTGATCTCCTCCGCACGAGGGGGCACCTGCAAAGCCAGCAGACTCTGGTCCAGCCAGCTGTGCCGAACTCAACCGAGAGGACAGGTGACAAGGGACTTCAGATCCCAATGCAGCTGCTGCCCAGCACCCTCCCTGCCAGGGTGGGACGAGCTCCAGATCACGGATCACCCTTGGCCCACAGGGCCACAGTTACCGCTGTGGCTTGCTACAGTCCAGCCTTCACATAGCCAGTGTCCCCACCGCGAAACTTCCAATTGCCTCCCAGCCCTGAGCTCTCCCTCAAGACACAGCTCCTCATGGTGCCAAGTCCTGCTGGGGAAGCCATCCTTGAGGCAAGTTCGCACTGCTGCCCCCACTACAGCTCTGGAGATAAGCCCTCAGCACTCCCCCAGCTCTCTGGCCTGACCTCTTGGCAGCTGGAAGAAGCACTAAGCTGATTGTTCAGGCTTTGGTATAAGAGCACAGAAAGATGCACAGAGCCAGTCCTCCCCCGAGCCCCTGGAGCTGATGCTTCCCAGCACAAACGTCGCAGAGGGCATCATCTGCTCACGGGCAGCGGGAGAAGCCACCTGACAGCACAGGGCAAACGTGCCAGGCCAGACCAATCCCACTTCCCTATCCGAACTACGATGGGACAGCGAGCTGCCAAGCTGGAGGCTCCAAGGGGCACATGCAGGCAGGCTGGGTGCTGCTCCTCGCAGATGGCTCAGCTCAAAGCACCAAACCCACCTCCACACAGACACAGAAGGGCAGGGAACATGGCTCAGCCCCTTCTAAGGCCTCCGTGCCAGTGCCACTGCAACGAGGCTAGAGCTGGGGAGCAAGTAGTCCTGCCATGCAGGGCCCCATGGCCTGCTGCGTTGGTGGACACAGAGACCCCCAGCAGCAGTGCACTGGCTGCAGCAGCGGGGAGCAGGGCCCTGGGAGGTACCTGTGCCCCTCTGCAGCACAGACAGGGCCCCAGGTCAGGCATTAGAGTACAAACTGGAGAAAACACCATCTCAGTTGGAGCTCCGTGTGGTCCTCTTGGCCTTAAGCTCACCTGAACCAGCCCCGTGCCTGTCATCAGCCCCCAGGGAGCTATGTGTGCCTTCCAGACACCCCCAGCTTGGGCTGGTGCCACTCAGGACAGAGCTATCCCACTGCTGCCTGGCAGAGCACCCAGTGAGGGGGCCCAGGGGTTCCCCCCCTCACGCTCACCTCTTCAGGGAACTCCTCGCCCACCAGAGCCATGATCAGAGATGTCTTCCCCACCTGGGCTAGGAAAGAATGGGAGGCCATTGGCACCGGCCTGGCAGAGCCTGAGCGAGTCGAACAGCGGTACCCATGACTGGAACCAGCAGCGGGTGACAGTCACACCCATGGAACCCGGGGTGGCTCGGCCCACGGGCGACGGGGACGTCGGTGTTCTTGTCGAGCGGGAGACTTCGGGGCAGAGGCCGGTAAAGCAGTGCAGCGCTTCAGCCCGGCTCGCCTGAGGCT